GTTGTTCCCTCTCAGCCCAGGTTGGCCTTGACATTGGGCTGAAGTAGGCCTAGCCCGTCTCCTAAATGTTCTGTATTATGTCACGGTAAGTTTAAAACGTCTAGAAAATAGGTTCCATACATACGATACAAAAGCCAATCACAACGACCTCTGGAATTTTCCATTCCAGGGTAATCTAGATCTAAGTCTACTTATTCTTATTACTACCAGAAACCTAGGTCTCTGTTACTACAATACCACGCTCCCTCTTACTTATCCACTCGCTAAGCTGATCAACGGCGGGAAGTTACAGCAAGACAGCAAGTCAGCAGAGTGACTTGTCAGGTTTCGAGCTGGTCCTGGGAGCCAAAGCAAAAAATGGGAGCCGAGAGACTTGCCGGGTTGTGAGCAATTCACTGGCACAAAGCAATACGATGGGAATTATGGGACTCGTATGCTGCGGACGGGATTTGAGACTTGACGGCTGTCCGCTGCTTGCAAGCCTTCGATTAATCAAGCAGACTACAGCGCTACGCCGCGCAGTGACACTGTGAGCAGGATCTCTCACTCTCCCCCTTTCTCTTTTTCTAACGTAAGTGGCTTCGCGGATTGCAAGCAGGGTGGGGAGGATGAGGGGATCTGACACGAGTGGTTTCGCGGATTGCTAGTTGGTGTGGACTTGAAGTTCAGACTAGACCAAGAAGGTTACAGTTTGTGCTAGACTCAACTTATCATGCCGGTGATTTGATTTGAGGATTTGACCTAATGATTTTGAGTCGTGTGACTTGAACTAGAGGCTTGGGAGCACGAGCGGGTTTTCTACCGGGGTACAGCTCTAATGTGCATCAACGATCGCAATTCAATGAATCAGGAATCACACACTACACACTCTATTCTTTTTTTTTAACCTTTTATGGCCTATACGCTCTTATTATACGGTACTGAGCGTCAAGGCTATAGCACATCATTTTAAATTTTGGAGTGGCTCACATAACGCGTCTCTCCGCAGCATCTCTCTCTCTCTCTCTCTCTCTCTCTCTCTGCCGTCTGCCCCACCTCACTCATTACTGGACTGGCCAATCACAACGACGCACCACTGACTGCCTGTTTGAATCCCGCCAGCTACCCCCGAACCCCCTTCCCCACAGCTAAGCTCACTCGATCTCTCCTGCTGTATTCAAGTTCGGGCCCCGTTCAACCAGAGCACAGGTAATTGAGTTTGCATATAGAAAAAAAGGGGGATTCCGGTAAGGTCCCGCTGTTGGGATGGTCCCGCTGCAGCTAGTGCCGCTAGAGTCACACATAAGCATAAAAAACAACCATATTCAACGAAACATGAGAAAAATATTGTAATTATACAGGAATTAATTACTGAATCTTTACTAAAAACGTGAACATAAACTCCTGTAAGGGACACATACAGGATTTCTTTACTGATACATTGAAAAAATGGAGAATAGATGGCGCATACAGGATTTAAGTAGACTGAAAGAGGAATCATACTAAATTCAGAGAGCTCAAATAGTTACTCTTTTGATGAACAGCACGTTATGCTTTTCAAAATCATAGTCAATCTGATTGTCATACAATCTATATGAAACGACAAAGTCATTTTAAAAGGTACGAAAGACCTCTAAAATGCGCGGATATATATATACATATATAAACATATATATATATATATATATATATATATATATATATATATATATATATATATATATATGAAACATTTTGACTGATGAGAAATCAAACTCCAGAGAGTAAGTCTGATTGTCGTAGAACTTATTTGTGACCCACAAAGTCATTCTTTGCAGAAAAAACATCAGAAATGCTTCAGGAAAAGACTACAGAGTGTAGTTAAAAGAACATTACCAGTTTGACAAGTAAAAAGTGCATCAAGCTACTTAGGAATAGACATGCATAGTATGAGTTAAATGGGCGTTTATATTAGCATTTGGGCGTACTCATTCACACCTTAACAAGTGAAAATGTAACATAATACAGGAGAACCGAGCAAATAAACTGGATCTATCATAATTGCTTAAACATTTTTATGCCTACCTAGTTAGAACATTAACAAAACAGGAAAATTCTGGCGCAGAGGGTGATGAGCAGGTGGGATCAGGTTTGATGAACACAATAAAATGAGGTACCTCTTTTTGTCCTCTGACGCACCAGCTGGTTCACTGAGCACTTGTAGGTTCAATAGCTGTTCATCTGGTCCTTCTGATTTCCGTCAGAGTTGCATTTGGTCAACTCAGCACTCTTTCTCGTCGTAGCGGATGGCCATGGTGTCGTTCTCATTTTGAACAAATGTATAACCCTGATCTTCGTCCATTTGATCTTCTCGCTTTCCTCGTCATAATCCAAGTTCTTAAAGTATTCTTGAAACTGCATGAAAGTCAAAGAAACCTTGTGCAGACATGTCCTTGATATCATAGGGATTCTTACTCTTTAGTGCTCCACCAACGACAGTCACCCACTGCTCAGGTGTGAATACAGTGGAAACTTGATACAATAGGGATGGTGGGACCAGAGAAAAAGTCAAGTTATATTAGATCTCTGATAAATCAGAAATGCAAGGCAAGTAAGCATTTGTAGACTAATCCAGCTGTATTTATTCATGGGTAGTCTTGTTTCTCTCGTGGCCATGTGGCAGGCCTGCGCAGGACACACTGTGCGTGCGTGTAGCTAGGCTTAAGAAGGGCCTATTACGTACTGGCTGACCGGACAGATTTCTGGGCCGTACGGCCAATCATAACGTGTAATTAGAAATGCGGCTCAAACCGTAGGCGAACACCCGGGAATAGCCGGCTGGGTGTAAAGAACCCACGGCTGCTGCATGTAAATTTGACGTCCGGCCATCCGGCCTTGAGGGGAGTGCCGACTGTCTTTGAAGTTTGCTGCGCCGGGGACAACAGAACTAATTTCAAAATTAAAGAAAATCACGTCGTAGATTTTAAAAGATAATCATACCAGATTCAAAATCAGTGTACCAAAATCAGGGAAATGGCTCGCGAGTGACTTGTTTCGTTTTTCATTTTTGCACATTTTTATGTTTTGCGCGCCATGATACACACACGTGTGTGAAGTTTCACCCAGACTAGGCCTAGTGTGTAGAATGTATGCCCGTTGTGGAATGTTTTTCTCTGATTTTGTTTCCGCTGGTCCGGCTGGCGTGATTGTTTTCTTGACACTTTTTTTGTGTGTGACATTTTCCCCAACCTCTGAGAACACTTAGGAGAGGACAGATGATAGTCGTGGGGCCACTGGAGTGGTTGGGTTGGGTGGGTCATCTTGAATCCCCCCCCCCCCCAAGTCGGTGTGACATCATCAATTTGAAAGGGGTTTGAATCCACTGCTCGGTCTGTGCTGTGTTGAGTTCCAACCTAGATCGTTGATGTAGCTGTCGCTTAAGACGAAGACGAGGGAGTGTGTTGATCTGGGGCCTTAAAACTTGGAGTACTTGTTGCCTTTACTTGTGTGGAAAGTGGTAGATAGTCGTCCACATCACTGTCAGAATCGCTGGCAAGAAGCAATGCTGTGCAGTTGACTGACTTTTTACATTTAAGTCCAAGTGCTATTACATCACCGTCAGACCATTCGGTGTCTGTGTCACACATGTCGTCATTCTCTCTCAGTCGGATCATAAATAGTAGGCCTATAATGTATCATACACTTTCACGTAGAATGAACATATAATGTACACCTGACTTTTTGCATAATCTAATAATAGTAGGCAAACAATACAAATATTGCAATATCCAATTTTGCTTTCAGATTATAAAAATACCAATGAAGGTTTTTCAAAAGGATTATGCAAACATCTGTGTAAAACCTACTGATGCGTAGATAATCCTACAAACGCATGTAAACAAATAACAAAAAAATGAGACATTTGTCAACTCACTCACAAGGCTTTGACTGCTAAAATCAGGAAAACAAAGGAATATACAACTTCCGTCAGTCCGTCAGTCCGTCTATTTGTCACGTACTTCAGTTTTATAGAAACTAATATAAGTCTGGAATGCATTAAACAGAGCACGTATACATGAAAAGTGGGGGGGGGGGAAACTTCATGGATATATTATCATATAGTCTGAACATGTTTGCATCAAATAAATGTAGATTAAAAAGAAGTTTATTCAACTAATGTGAACCATTTTGATCACACACTTAGATGATTTCGATACATTGTCCTCCTTCTCTCGGCGTACCCCCTTGAGACAAATTTGCAGATTAACACAAATCGAAGCTCAGTAAAGATCTCTTACCCTTAGTAAATTGTAGGGCAATCATTAACATATAAACAGACCAAAACATTTCTTCACATGAATTTGATAACATTTTCCACGTTTGGTTGAGAAATTCTGTCCCACTTTCGTGGCAGCGCGATCTCCTAATAGCTGCAGATTTGCAAATCGGTACACACTTTGCGGTTCAGTTCATCCCATACGTGAGCTGTTTGAGAAATGTCGGGTACTTACACTGGCCAGTCCATGACATTCATGTTCTGATCTTCCAGACACTGTGTTGTTTGCTAAATGTGCAGTGTAAGGGCAAGAGTGTCGTCTTGAATGACTGAGATATTCTGATTTGTTCTTTGTGCTGTTTGGCACCGTGAAGACGGCGCTGTTGTATGGGTTCGTTAATTGCAGTCCTGAGTAAGGCGTTCTTTGTCTAAGTCCTGTACTCACAGCTCCGAGCCCCAAACTGATCAAAGAAACATTTTCACGCACCCAATGCAAGCCTTAAGCTGCTGCTTTTGAGAAACGATTTCGCAGATGCCACAGCAAAATCTGCCTCTCTTGAACATGGCTGATCTCTCCAGACTGTCCTACTCTTTGCCCATCACGAACATTTCAAGTGTGCTAAAATCTTTCTATAAGTCGAGAACAATACAAGTACTGCGTTTTATTTAGCCACATAGCTGCTTCTCAGGCAGATTTTCCGCCATGAACAAGGCGGAAGCGAAAGTTGCGATCAGCTTCGCTAAGTTGAGGAGTCTTGTAATGAGAGAAATAAAAAGAATCGATCGAAAAAAGCTAGGACTTTAGTTTGGAGTGAGCTATGGGTCATCTTCCAGGTAAATAATTGTGTATTCTTTTATAATATAGCACATTTAATATCACATTTTTACTAAAGCATAGTTTACTGTATTGCGATGAAAAAATTATTCTTGGAAACAGCAAAAATCGTGCATGGGTGTGTGGACTAACAACTACTCCCTTGTGTATCCAAAAATCGTCACGATCAGAGAATAATTGGCTTTTTAATAACTTTTTGAAAATGTTGCGTTTTTAACGGCGTTCAGTATATGTATGACACCCTGCAAGATCAAACAAGATATCATGAGGTTAGCTTTAAATTCATGTATTCAACAAAGGTAAATCTACTTTCAAATATCTTAGCTGCTAGGTTCAAACAATGGAAGATAATGCCCCTCAAAATGAGAGTTATCATCAGATCGTAAAGGCAGTCAATGGAGCCTGTTTGCTTTGAACGGAGGTAGGAGACACAAGCAACACAATCGAGACAAAATTCAGAGGGTGGCAATTGTTCAGAAAAATAAAACAGTAATAACAGCAACTGCTGCATCTTAATATTGCACTGAGATAATAGAAGATCAGTTGCACTAAAGAATTAACTATCACCAAGTAGTTACGGAGGTCTAACGATGTGAATCAAGCATTTTTTCAACTGTTTCAGTAAGGAAAAGGAGAGAGAGGGACTTTATTGAAATGAGTTTGTTACAAGTGAACATCATTTTAGAAATCAAAATGAAATGTCTTCCATGTCGATTCACACTCTCTCAGTACTGCCATCACTTTCTACTACCGGATTCTATTATAATGAAAAAAGAGGCATCATCTTTAGTTGGTCCATTATTAGTTGACTTCATGGCTCACCCTGCCCCTCCCTAAAACATTCCAACAAAAATAACACATCTCACCAACTCCACCCAAAAAAATTGTTTGAACCTACGAAACAAGCAACACTCACTCATGCACACAAAAAGGACAATGGATTGCTGCTTAAAAAGGAAGCAAATCTCCCTTGTAATTGAGAAGCTTGCCAGTGCTCTCTTCACCTTGGGATCCAATCACCTTAAGGCAGCCAGAAATGCTCTCCCCTGGGGAAAGATCGCCTTTTTCTGTCCCCATGTCTGTACGTACCCAGCCCGGGTGAAGTGACAAAACCAAGATACCAGCGTCTTTCAACTCTTGAGAGATCAGAATAGTGGCCATAGTCTCAGCAGTCTTAGAGCATCTGAAGAAAAAAAACGGAGACAAGAGAAAAAGCATTGTTCTTTCCTAAAAATGATATTGACGGGATAATTCAATGATGAAATATTATCTAGTATTTGTTGAAACTTCGAGACGTACGATGAGCGTGGAATAAAATATCATGAAAAAACAGTTTCTGGTCTCAGAATTTTTATGACAAGTGAACAAGAACAAATCACTGCGAGAGTATGCCACCTGATATCTACACGCCACGGGGGGGAATGTGGAATGGGTAGGTAGCATAGCGAAGTGGGGTACTCTAGTTTGCTATGGTGAGGAGGAGGAAGCAAATGGGTAACAAGTGCTTACTAGAGCTGTACCCCGGTAGCAAACCCGCTCGTGCTCGCAAGCCCCTAGTTCAAGTCACAAGTTTCAAATCACTACCTAAACTTAAAGTCCACACCAACTAGCAATCCTCGAAGCCACTCGTGTTAGACCCCCTCATCCTCCCCACCCTGCTTGCAATCCGCGAAGCCACTTACGTTAGAAAAAGAGAGAGAGGGGGAGAGAGAGGGGAGAGAGAGAGAGAGAGAGAGAGAGAGAGAGAGAGAGAGAGAGAGAGAGAAAGAGAGAGAGAGAGAGCGAGAGAGCGAGAAAGAGAGAGAGAGAGAGAGAGGGAGAGAGAGAGAGAGAGAGAGAGAGAGAGAGAGAGAGAGAGAGAGAGAGAGAGAGAGATCACGCTCACAGTGTCGCTGCTCGGCGTAGCACTAGAGTCTGTTCGATTAATCGAAGGCTTGCAAGCAGCGGACGGCCGTCAAGTTTCAAATATCGCTCTCAGCACAGTAAGCCCCATGGTTTGCTTTGCGTCCCATTGTCTTGCTTTGTGCTCAGTGATTTGCTCCCCGCCCGGCAAGTCTCTCGGCTCCCATGTTTTGCTTTGGCTCCCAGGACCTGCTCGCAACCTGGCAAGCCACTTGACTGACTTACTGCAGCAGCAAGCAGCAAGACCGCTCGCAGTGTGAACTCTGAACCGTGGAGGAAGGGAGAGGCTGTGCTTGTTTTGGTGAAAGACGTAGAGAGCCGAAGCTATTTTTAACTTCCCGGCTTTGATCAGCTGAGAGAGTGGGTAAGTGAGAGGAAGCGTGGTATTGTAGGAGCCCTAGGTTCCTGGTAGTAATAATTAGACTTATTAGATTACCCTAGAATTTAACCCAAAAAAACAGGGGTCGTTGTGATTGGATTTTGTATCGTATGTATGTAACCTATTTTATGGATGGTTTAAACTCACAGTGACATAATACAGAACATTTAGGAGACGGGCTAGACCTACTTCAACCCAATGTGAGGGCCAAACTGGGCTGACAGGGAACAAAGCCCAAGCAGAAAGACGGAGGTTCTCGGTAAAAGTGTATCTCCTTACGGGAATCGAACTGAGGTCTTTTGCGTGCGACGTGAACATTTTAAAAAACCGGCCTTTGCTTTGTAAGAATAGCCGATCTATTATTGATTTTTAAGTGCATTGAATAGAGCTTTTTATTTTTTACAACCCGACTATGGAAAAAAAACAATCTTGCACCTTTGGTGCACCTCTAAACGCAAATAACCAGAATATTCTGTAGTATGTAATGAGCCCACAGGCACGAGAGTTCGCGACGTCAAAACACAGTACAACAAGACTGTCCGCGAGTCTCAACTCTCCGAAAGTTCCCCCCGGTAGCGAGCGGGAGGCAAAGCAAAGCACAAGACTGCTCGCAAACCTCTAAAGCAAGCTGTCCGCTGCTTGCAAGACTTCGATTAATCGAGCAGACTCCAGCTCTAGTGCTTGCTGACAGAGTTGAGTGTGGGAGAAAAGAAAGTTATCGAGGCAGAGCTGACGACAGGGCGCCGTGCACAGTGTGCAGTGTGTGCATCAGACGGTGTTGCGGGGCATACGTACAACTAAGACAGTTGGTTGATGGCGTTTTAACGGGACAGATAGTATGCGCATTTTTAATTTAGGTGTTCCTTTTTAAGCATCAGCAAAACCGATATTGCTAGATGTTGTAAGACAAGGGCCAGTTATGAAAACCATTGCACTAAATGCATTTTCCAAAATAATACAACAAGCAAAATGGAAACTGGAAGTATACTTGAGTTCTGTGAACAGGGGAAGCTGAATAAAGAAGATAAAAGAATAAATAAGATATCATTGAGACATGAGTAAGAAATAAAGCTGTTTAGTCAAATAAGTACATGCAATTTGGCAATCAGTGCGAAGTGACAGTACTTTAAAAGAAGTGATTTCTTACTTCTATGATGAACAAGAAATGGAACCAACTCAGCTTCCTTTTTCTCTTACTGGAACAGTGTCAATAACAAAGATCAAATTTAAATCTTACTTATATTAAAAGCCTCCAGAGAAGAAACCACCCCAAGATGCAAATAATGAGAAAGGAGGGAATGGGGGGGGGGGTGATGAAGCTGAAATATTGAAATTCTTTAACAGAAACTCACTTGTAATGTAAGGACGTTCCTCTTCCATTTTGATACGTCTCATTTTGAGATGCCATGAACGAAGAAATATTGATGAAGGCGGCTTTGTTACAACTCATGGGCTGAGACTTGTTCGGAGCTGCGGCTTGCTCTAGGAGAGGCAGGAACTTCTGTGCCACGATGATGGGGCCTAGACAACACGAAAAGAGTACAACATTTAGGCTAAGTTTTTTTAAGGGGATAAAACATTATTATAATTGTATCACATATTATTTTTTTTAATGTTCAAAATCAATCACATTACATAACAATAATCAACGCACTATCAATAGTGTAGAGAAAGTGGGCCAATTCCAAGGAAGTCTATATTTACAAAAGAGGTAGATACGTCACTTGTGCCATATACCATGGTATCGATATAATAATAGTTGTACATCTGATGAAAGAAATAAAAAAGAAAGCAGCCTACAGGTTTACAATTCTCAACCAATTATGCAATGATCATGATATAAAGAGAATGCTTGCTGATGTAGACAGTATCGCCCACTACAGTGTAGCAAAGAGTCTACATAACAAGAGGGGCCACTCCTCTCTTTGAGCCAATTAAAAAAGTGTCCTCAAAATTGGGTGGCGCCCTCTTCGCAAATGCGCATCCTTTGCGAACAGAGTTACCCTACTTGAGTTTAAAAAATCAAGGTGAAACTAGCAAGTTTTTAAATAAATTTTGGAAGAACGCTTTTTTAATAGTTACGCTGACACAAAACCTCTTCCGGAGGAAAGGGTGATTTTTTCTTCGTTTAATTTGACTTTAGAATGAAAGGCGAGAGGTCATTAAAATAATAAAAACCTAAAACTCTGCAGTGAACGATCCCGAACTGCTGATGAACAGCAGTCGATCTGCGCACGCAAGGAGGTGCTATTCCTATTCTTCTTCTGGAAAAACGAAAGAGAGCTTCAAAACAGACTGCAGCGCCATCTGAAGCAAAGAGCGGACTTCCGACGGACACTTTTTTTGGCCGAGTGGATCATCTTGTTATGTACTATCTTTGGGTGTAGTAGAAAAATTCGAATCGCAAGTTATTATAGAAAAATCGAACATAAACTCTCCAGCATTTGCACAGTGACTTGAATCATTTTTTCTTAACAGATCAATATTTTTGTAAACACCAGTTGGCTCTATTCTAGAAAATTCCTTAATATTAATTTTTTTAAAATCCCACTGCGTGGTTTCTGTAGATTTGAAATAGTTTACAGCTTGGACAATACCACTTTGAAAAGCAAAGCCTGTCATTTTTTTTTTTCTAATTGCGAAATTATGTTTGCTGAACGCATGTTTTGAGAGCTTTTGGTGCAAAAAAGAGTTCATTATAAATTTTTTTTTTTTTAAACTAACTTTTCCTCTAAAAAGTGTCATTGGTGATGTGTGACGTAGATCTAGGCCATGCGTACGCAAAATGTGAGTGAGAAGCGAGAAGCGCTGTGAACAATTCCATATTCCGCGTGACGGAGATTTATACTATATTTTATACCATACTTGGAGCTGTTTTAGCATTGCACTTCCGGTAAAATATATCATTATATTTCACACGTGAAATATAGGCTGGCTGAGCTGATTTCTCACACGTGAAATATAAAAATTTGCATAAATTACTCCGCGCACTAGATCTATGTTCGCCTTCTACTTCTATCCCTCTGTGTGTAGGCTAAGCAAAGTAGATCTAGCCTAGATCTAGATCTAGATCTATATATCTAGATCTAGATCTATATATCTAGATCTAGATCTATATATCTAGATCTAAATCTAGTAAAAACTTAAAAACTTCCCTGCAAAGCGCCCTCACCTTCGGCAACCAAACACTAGTCTCTCAGTCTCTTATAGTCGAGTATAGGTTCAAAACTTTCTAGATCTACGGTGCCCTTAATATTGTTTCAAATAGATCTAGAGTCAAATGATGGGCACCGTAATGAACCGGGATTAGATCTAGATCTCTAGATCTACGCAAGAGTATGGAGCTGTTACGTTTAGTTCATTTCTCGAATAAAATAGTCATTTGTTCTAATGGGTCATCATAATAATGCAACTTGTCAGGTGCAGCTAAACTGCCTTCTTTCAAATCAATTAGATCTAGATCTAGATCTAGTAAAACTGATGTTTGGGAATTGCTTTTTGCTCC